CTACCTTCGAAGCAGGTTCAGCAGCCAGTCCCAGAGATTCTGCGAGGCCTCTGATTCATCGATGATATGTTCACCGCAATCCCAAACAGCTTCGTTCGTCCTGACCCAGCCGTCCTCCGTCCACATGGAGTTGGGGTCGCAAGTTAGGTTGCACGCGAACCAGTAGTCGTTCTTCTTGTAGCACTTCGCGTCAGGATCAGCGCAGCATTGGGACAGTGCGCAAGACGCCCCGTTTGGCGAGCATGGGAGCCGAACCTCCGTGCAGTCCCAAACTGTCTCGTTCGTCGTGACCCATCCGTCCACCGTCCACAGACTGTTCGGGTCGCAGGTTTGGTTGCACGAGCTCCAATGGTCATTCTTCTTGTAGCACTTCGACCCAACCTCAGCGCAACACATAGTAAGTGCGCAAGACTCCCCGTTCTGCGAGCAAACGGAGGCTGTCGCAGCATCGGAGCTACTCGCGGCGTCTGCCGACACATCGGCGTCAACGGCAATACTGACATCGGAGTCAGTCGAAGCATCGATACTGTCGATGCTGATGACTTCACAGTCCCACACCGTTTCGTTCGTCTTGACCCAGCCGTTCTCCATCCACATGTAGTTTGGGTTGCAAGTTTGGTTGCACGCGAACCAATAGTCATTCTTCTTGTAGCACTTCGCGCCGGGATCAGAGCAACATTTAGTAACTGCGCAAGACTCCCCGGGTTGCGAGCACGGCGGCCGAATCTCCGTGCAGTCCCAGACTGTCTCGTTCGTCTCGACCCAACTGTCCTCCTTCCACATGTAATACGGGTTGCAAGTTTGGTTGCACGAGCTCCAATGGTCGTTCTTCTTGTAGCACTTCGCGCCTGGCTCAGAACAGCACTGGGAAAGAGCGCAAGACGCTCCGGTCTGCGAGCACGTGCCGTTCTCGTCCTCGGCTGCTGCATCAGCAATGGGATCCGCTGATTCGACAGGAGACACGGTGAGGTCCTCGCAATCCCAAACTGTCTCATCCGTCTTGACCCAGCCGTCCTCCATCCACATGTAGTTTGGGTTGCAAGTTTGGTTGCACGAGCTCCAATGGTCGTTCTTCTTGTAGCACGCCGCCCCTGGCTCAGAGCAGCACTCGGACAGTGCGCAAGACGCCCCGTTGGGCGTGCACGGAAGCCGAATCTCCTGACAATCCCAAACTGTCTCGTTCGTCGTGACCCATCCGTCCACCGTCCACAGACTGTTCGGGTCGCAGGTTTGGTTGCATGAGCTCCAATGGTCATTCTTCTTGTAGCACTTCGCGCCAGGCTCAGAGCAGCACATGGTAATGGCGCAAGACTCCCCGTTCTGCGAGCAAACGGAGGCTGTCGCAGCATCGGAGCTACTCGCAGAGCCTGACGAAATATCAGTGTCAGCGGCATCAGCGGAATTAGCGGTACTGTCGAAGCTGATGGCTTCGCAATCCCACACTGTTTCGTTCGTCTTGACCCAGCGGTCCTCCATCCACATGGAATTGGGGTCGCAAGTTTGGTTGCACGCGAACCAATAATCATTCTTCTTGTAACACGTCGCGCCGGGATCAGAGCAACATTTAGTAACTGCGCAAGACTCCCCGGGTTGCGAGCACGGCGGCCGAATCTCCGTGCAGTCCCAGACTGTCTCGTTCGTCTCGACCCAACTGTCCTCCTTCCACATGTAATACGGGTTGCAAGTTTGGTTGCACGAGCTCCAATGGTCGTTCTTCTTGTAGCACTTCGCGCCTGGCTCAGAGCAGCACTGGGAAAGTGCACAAGACGCTCCATTTTGAGAGCACGTGCCTTTCTCGTCCTCGGCTGCTGCATCAGCAATGGGATCCGCTGATTCAACAGGATTCACGGTGAGGTCCTCGCAATCCCAAACTGTCTCATTCGTCTTGACCCAGGCGTCCTCCATCCACATGTAGTTTGGGTTGCAAGTTTGGTTGCACGAGCTCCAATGGTCGTTCTTCTTGTAGCACTTCGCCCCTGGCTCAGAGCAGCACTGGGACAGTGCGCAAGACGCCCCGTTGGGCGTGCACGGAAGCCGAATCTCCTGACAATCCCAAACTGTCTCGTTCGTCGTGACCCATCCGTCCACCGTCCACAGACTGTTCGGGTCGCAAGTTTGGTTGCACGAGCTCCAATGGTCATTCTTCTTGTAGCACTTCGCGCCAGGCTCAGAACAGCACATGGTGAGTGCGCAAGACTCCCCGTTCTGCGAGCAAACGGAGGCTGTCGCAGCATCGGGGCTACTCGCGGAGTCTGACGAAACATCAGTGTCAGCTACAGTCCCAGCCGCGGAGTCAGACGAAACATCGGTACTGTCGATGCTGATGACTTCGCAATCCCACACTGTTTCGTTCGTCTTGACCCAGCCGTTCTCCATCCACATGTAGTTTGGGTTGCAAGTTTGGTTGCACGCGAACCAATAGTCATTCTTCTTGTAGCACTTCGCGCCGGGATCCGAGCAGCACTGGGTAAGTGCGCAAGACGCCCCAGTCGCCGAGCACGGCGGCCGAATCTCCGTGCAGTCCCAGACTGTCTCGTTCGTCTCGACCCAGCCGTCCGCCTTCCACATGTAATATGGGTTGCAAGTTTGGTTGCACGAGCTCCAATGGTCGTTCTTCTTGTAGCACTTCGCGCCTGGCTCAGAACAGCACTGGGTAAGTGCGCAAGACGCCCCGGTCTGCGAGCACGGGTCGGTCTGGTTGGGATCCGCGCCGCTCACATCGCTGGCAGCCTCGACAATGATAGCCTCGGGAGAGGCAAGAGTCGCGGCCCCCGTGAAGGGCCGCGCGCGCCAAGCCACAGCCAGCAAAGCCAACGCCGCCGCGGCCGCCGACAGCGCCGTCGCCCCGGCCACAGCGCGCTGCTCGCGCGGCGCGCGCGGCGCCCGCGCAGGGGCGATCACTCCTGGCTCGCAGTCGCTCTCGAGGGGGAGCTGGAGCGGCAGGAACTCGCTCCCGTCCGCGCGCATGGCGGGCGAACGATCGAGCTGCAGCGAGCGCCTGTCGGGTGGGAGCGCGAGTCTCGGGCCTTGAGTCAAAATGACTTGAGCCAAAATGGCTACGGAAGCCCGTTGAGGGCATCGGGGCCATGTTGGGGTGTCTAGGGCCGTCCTGGGCCCGTCCGAGAGTCTCTTAAGGCTCTCTTGGGGCCGTTTCGGCCCGTCTTGGGCGCCTCCTGGGCTGGCTTGGGGCCCTCTTGGGCCGTCTTGGCGCCTTCTTGGGGACCTCCTGAGCCGTCTTGGGGCGATCGTGGGGGCGTTTGGAGCTGCCTGGGGCGCTGTGAAAACTCACGAAGCGAATATGCTGACAATGCACGTTTTCCTCAGGAAGTGGGACGTGGAGGCCGGCTCTCTGGAGGTCTCGTGAGAGCATCTTGTTGCTCCCGCGGCGCCTCTGGGACTGTCGCGGTGTCATCTGAGAATCTGGGACTGTCGCGGTGTCATCTGGGGCCGTCTTGAGCTCTCGTGGGGCGCTTTCGGGGGCCTCGAGGGCCAGTCGCAGGCTATCTTGGGTGGTCTTGGAAGATTCCCGGACTTTCTGGGACCTCCGGGGGTCGTCGGGGGAGGTCCCCGGGGAGAAGGGGGACCGAACTGCAAGGGATGGCCACGCGCGCTTAGGTTCCAGTCACATCTGCGCCATGTTTTACGGACCTCGCTTTCGCTCGTCTGATCGGCGACGTTGCGAAGTCCCTTGCATGTGGGCGTTGCAGAGTCTCCATCCGCCTCGGCCCCCTCGCCCTCCCCCTCCTTCGTCATCGTCCTTTTCGTCATCATTATCCTCCTCCTTCCTCCTCCTCCTCCTCCTCCTCCCTCCCTCCCTCCCTCCCTCCCTCCCTCCCTCCCTCCCTCCCTCCCTCCCTCCCTCCCTTCCTTCCTTCCTTCCTTCCTTCCTTCCTTCCCTCCCTCCTCCTCCTCCTCCCTCCTCCTCCTCCTCCTCCTCTCCTCCTCCTCCTCCTCCTCCTCCTCCTCCTCCTCCTCCTCCTCCTCCTCCTCTCTCCTCCTCCTCCCTCCTCCTCCTCCTCCTCCTCCTCCTCCCCGTGCTCCTGCTCCTACTTCTGCTCTCCCTCCTCATTCCCTCCTCCTCCTCGTTACTAGATTTGTCCACTCCTCTGCGTCGTCATCCTGCTCTCCCCTCTGCTTTTCCTACTCCTTCTCCGCCTGTTCCTTCTGTCCCATGTCCTGCCCCTCCTCCTCACCTCCGTTTGCAACTACTCCTCTTTTTCCCTCCTCCTCCTCCTCCTCCTCCTCCTCCTCCTCCTCCTCCTCCTCCTCCTCCTTTTCCTACTCCTCCTCCTCTCCTCCTCTCCTCCTCCTCCTCCTCCTCCTCCTCCTCCGCCCGCATGTTCCCAGAGATGTCTCCGGGAACATCTCATATGGGCAACTGTTTTCCACCGCCCTAGCAGGGATCGTGGCCCAAAGGGAGCTCCTCCTACGGCCCCAAAGAGAAGTTTCGCACGGCGTCTTCACGCCAATGTCGCCACACCTCTCACGCGGATCGCGCCCCACAGGGAGCTCCACCGACGGCTCCAAACAGGAGGGGTCGCATGGCGTCCCTCCGGAACTTTTCAGCACACCCCTGACGCGGATCGCACCCCGCAAGGATATCCATCTGCCTCCACCTATGGCACCCGTGGGCAATTTCGCATGGCGTCCCCACGCTCGTCTCGGCGCCGCCGCACACGCGGATCGCTCTCCGCAGGGAGCTCCACATACGGCCTCCTTCACGCGGATCGCGCCCCACAAAGAGCTCAGCGTGCCTGCGCGCACCAGCTCCGCAGCGACCCTCTGTCCAGTCTGCCTCGCGTCGTGCAGTATTTGAATAGAGAGAGAGAGCCGTGCCCTGCGGCACACGCAGCTGCATAGGGATGGGGCCTTCGCCAGGCCAAGTGAATGCTCTCTTCTCTCTTCGAGGCACACATACACTAGCACAGGCACACAATCGTGCATGCATGCATACATGCGTACGTACATGCGTACACATACATACCCATGCATACACATACATACACATACATACGCAGACATACACATACATCAACATAAAACCTGTGCCGATCAGGCGGCACCCCAGGAATGGGCCTAAATTGTGGACCAGAGGCCTCTCGTGGATGTATATCACGTTTCTTAGGAAGTCTCTCACAGGCCCGTTTGGGGCCTCTGGAGGGTCTCCTGGGGGGTTCCTGGGGGCCTCTTGGAGGCCTCTTGGGCGCCTCTTTGGGGGCCTCTTGGAGCCTCTTGGAGCCTCTTGGGAGCCTCTTGGGGCCTCCTGGGAGCCTCTTGGAGTCAAGGCTCGAGATTGGAACTTACTCTTCCCCCTGTGGGACCACTTTTGGGCCTGTCCTTGGGTTCCCTTGGGCCATCTTGAGGGCCTTCTGCTGGGCCGTCCTGGGCCCTTCCTGAGCCGTCCTGGAGCTCTCTTGGGGGCCTGCTGGGCCGTCTTGGGAGGCTCCTGCGCTGTCGTGGACGCTGCAAAAGTCCAAGAGGCGAATCTGTAACAAAAAAAAAAAAAAAAACGTTTTCCCCAGGGAATGGGACGGTTTTGATGTTTGCGGTCCTCTTGGGTGTTTTTTTCTTGAAGACCTACTGGGGCGTCTTGGGGCGCCTTGGGGCTGTCGCGGTGTCATCTGGGACACTTTTGGAGCTCTCGTGGGGCGCTCTTGGGGCCCGGGGCGCTCTTGGGGCTCTTGAGGGCCTGTCGCAAGCTATATTGGGTGGTCTTTGAAAATTTTCCAATTTTCTGGGACCTCCGGGCGTCGCCCGGGGAGGTCCGCGGGGGGGTGGCCAACTACAGGGGGGGCGGGGTCCCGAGCCCAGGATATCCCTTAGATGTAAGTTTGCATATACCACGCTAAATATATACACACATACAAACATACCTATCTACCTATCTACCTATCGACCTATCTACCTACCTACCTACCTACCTACCTACCTACCTACATACATACATACATACATATATACATACATGCATGCATACAGACAGACAGACAGGCAGGCAGACAGACAAACAGACAGGCACACATGTGTATATATATACATACATACATACATACACACACATACATACACACACATACATGCATACATACATACATACATACATACATGCATGCATGCATGCATGTATGCATGCATACATAATTATATGCATACATACACATATGCATATACATGTACATATACATATACATAAACATATACATATACATAAACATATACCTATGCATGTGCATATCAAGTTACGTATACATATACATATACATATACATATGCATATACATATACATGTACCTATACATAAACATGTACATTGATAGATACATATGCGTATACAAATGCGTCTAAATATACATATACGTATACCTCTACATATGCATATACAATCTGCATATGCATACACATATACATATACATGTACATATACATATACATAGACATAAACATATACACATACATATACATGTACATGTACAAATACATACATATGCATACACATACCTGCATACGTACATACAAACACAGACATACATACATACACCCATGCATGCATGCATGCATATATACATACACACGTACCTACATGCAGGCATTTATATACAAATATGCATACAAGCATACGTGTACACATGCATACATACATACATGCAGGCACACGCAGACATACATGCATGCATGCATACACACATACATGTACACTACATATACAAACATATAATAATACATACATACATACATGCATGCATGCATACATATATACATAGACCTATGCATATACATATATATATACACATATATGTATGTACATATACATATACATATACATATACAGATACAGATACACAAATACAACATACATACATACATACATGCATGCATGCATGCATGCTGCATGCATGCATGCATGCATGCATGCATGCATACATACATACATACATACATACATACATACATACATAATACATACATACATGCATACATGCATACATGCATGCATACACACATGAACTCTTCTCATGTGTAGATATCGCGCGCTTAGTGCGCGCTCATGTTCTAGCTAGGCTGGATGGTCGAACTCTTGGGGGTCTCTATTCCATGACACTTCTTCCCCAGGGTTTCCCAGAACCACGAAGACGGCCCAAGTGGCTTCCAAGACCTCCTACGGTCCACCGAGGGCTTAACACAGGGTTTTACTTTCGGGCTATCTCGGAACGCTCTCGGGGCCCCCGAGGCGCGGCCTGGAGGCGCCCTGCGGGATCAGGAGGCTGGAGGCTGTCTCGCTCGGTCGCGGGGCGCCGCGGAGCCGTCTCGGAACACCGAAGGCCGCCCAGGGAGAACCCCCCTTGAGAGGGCGGAGGCCGCTCTGTGCAAGCGGACCTCCCCCCTGCTGGTGCCTGGGGGGCCGGGACCTCCCCTGCGAGACTACGCGTACATTTGCGGATGGATACATGTGTGTATATACACACACACACACTCGTACATTCATTTTGTACACATGTACACACGTACGCTTGTATGGGGGTGCGTGTATGTGTTTGTATTGTGTATGATGCATGTGCGTACGGATGTATGAGTGTGTGTGTCTGATGTTCACACAAGGACATACACACACATTGTACACACCTACATACATCCATGCATAGAGGCATACATAAATACAAACATGCAAACAAACAAACAAACAAGCACCCATACCTACATACACACATACATGGATGGAAGCACACACACACACACACGCGCACACACACACGCTTACATACGTACGCAACTGCAAACATACCTACACATACACATACACACATGCATACAAACATATATACATACACAAATACATACACAGACATACATACATACAAATATGCATAAAAGGCAAAACGAAACAATACGAGCAAGAGAGGTGGGAGGGCGGAGGAGCGGGCGGGGATGGGAGAACAGGGAGAGCAGGGAACAAAGGGGTAAAGAGGGCGAGGACGAGGAAGAAGAGGGCGAGGACGGCGAGGGGGACCGAGCAGAGGAGAAAAGGGAGGCTGCTGCGGAGCAAGGAGGCGCAGGTGGAGGCAGGGAAGGCTACGAGAAGGAGGGAGCACGGCAGGCTGAGTCGCAGGAACAGCTGGCGCCGCCGCGAAACGGGAGCACTTGACTCGAAGGACGGCTGCAGCCAAGTGAATCAAAGGCCTGGCCTACCTAGGAAGATGTGGGGCATCTCGGGAAACCCTTGGCTCACTTTGGGCCCTGTTCGGGCTTGTCTGGGCGCCTCTTGGGGCCTCTATACGAGCTGTTTGGGGGGCCTCTTGGGGCCTCTGGGGGTCCTCTGGGGGCCCGCTGGCGGTCTGAGGGGCTCCCGTAAGCAGTATTGAAAACTTTGGGGGGCTTCCTCGTGGCCGTCTTGGGCCCCCCTTGGCCCGTCTTGGGGCCCCCCGGGGCCGTCTTGTGACTCTCTTGTGCGCCTCTTGGGTCGTTTTGGGGCGGTTTGGGGAACTGTTTGGGCCGTCGAGGAGCCCCCCACATGTTCCGGAGGTCTGGGACGCTCCCTGGGGGGCCTACTTGTTATCTTAAGAATAAAAATAAGTGTGTGTGCATATATATATATATATGTACTTATATATACACATAGATATGAGTAGATATATGTATGTGCAAAACACATGTTGAGTGCATCTTGTTCATTTCTCCCGGCCTTTCTTGGGGACGTGTGGGGCGTCTCTTGGGTGGTGAGCATTTTTTTATTCGGCGTTTCGACGACATTAGGCGGAAGGGAGGGGAGGGGGGGAAAGCATGCTACGCATGTAATGAAATCAATGATGCAAGAATGAGATCGGGATCCGTGAATGGATCAATCCGCTCGGAACAGGCGCCAAAAAACGGCCAGGATCTACTCCATAAGGGAGGGGAGGAGGGGGGTGCGAGGGCCCGCGCCGATCGGCAAAACAATGAATAAAAAACAATCACAATGAATAAAAAAACGATCACGTGTTTCTTGGGGAATCCCTCAGGGCTTGTCGAGGCCTCACGGGCACCTTTCGGGAAGTCTGAAGGTCGTCCAAGGCCTCTTGCGGGCGAGCTGGAGGCCCGAGCGGCGCGTCGACAGCGAAAAGGTGAGAAGGAAAGGACGCTTGCTTGCCCGCAAGTGTTTCAAAGGGTGCACGTGCCTCGAACAGGCTCTTTGGAGGCTCTTAGAAGGCTCTTTGGAGGAGCCCGTTGCGGGGATTGTGCTGTTTGTTTGTTGGTCAGACGCAACGTCTTCATGGTCGAGCTACTCAGCCGATGCGCCGCGCCGCGCATACGGGAAGCGCGGTGCCTAGAAAGCCTGCCGCACCGCCGCACGCCGTGCCGCACGGTCCTCGCACGACCATCCAGGCCGCTGGCTGTATGTGTGAACCTGTGGCCCTGCAGCGCCCGCTGTACAAAGAACGCCAGCGACAAGCGTGGCTCGCGCGCGCCTGACTCCGCCTGCCGCACTCAGGCTCCGCCCGGCTCCGCCTGCCTGCGTCCCGTCAAAACTGGCCACCTGGCAGCGCGCACCTCGCCGTCGCCTGGACGTCGACTCCCCGTGCACCTGCCGGTGTCGTGCGTGATCCTGATGGCCGGATGTTCCGGGATGCTCCTCCATGATCCCCGCCGGGAAAAAACATCCGCACGTCCGAGCGACGCAGCGCCCACCGCACGAAGAACGCCAATGGCAAAGCGCGGCTCGCGCGCACCCGGCTGCGCCTGCCGCCCTCTGCCTCCGCCCGGCTCCGCCCGTCGACTCGAGCGCACTGCCTGCGGGTCGCGCAGGGCCTGGGCTGCGCCTGGGCCGCGCCTTGTCGCGCGTGTTGCCCACTGGGCAGCCCGACGGGATGCTCTGCACCAGGCTCGATCCATACAGCCTGCTCGAATCCCACGGGCCCCCTTGGGCCGCCCTGGACTGACAGGGGCAGGAGAAGAGGTGAGAACGCCAGAATCTTTCAGATGAGGAGGAGGAGGAGGAGGAGGAATGAGAGAGACGAGAGTGGGCAGAAGGCAACGAGTGATCCACGGTTGCCCCCACCCCCTCTCCTCGACGAGGGATCTGACAGAATCAGGCGCCTCGACATGCTGCCAGGGTCTCCAGCAAGATGCCAAAACAAAGGCTAGCGATATGGTCTGCTACCAAGGGCTTTTGCAGCAGGTAATCAATAAAAAACAGGATCGCTGACGGTCTCATCTCGTGCACTATGGCACTCTAAATGGGCACAGCCCTCTCTGGGCGCAGCCCTCTAAAGTAGAAGATGAGATGAAGGGGAGATAAGGGAAGGCTACGAGGCTGCACGTGTTGTGGAGGCGAGGGCTGGGAATGCCAAGTGCTACTACCTTCGAAGCAGGTTCAGCAGCCAGTCCCAGAGATTCTGCGAGGCCTCTGATTCATCGATGATATGTTCACCGCAATCCCAAACAGCTTCGTCCGTCCTGACCCAGCCGTCCTCCGTCCACATGGAGTTGGGGTCGCAAGTTAGGTTGCACGCGAACCAGTAGTCGTTCTTCTTGTAGCACTTCGCGTCAGGATCAGCGCAGCATTGGGACAGTGCGCAAGACGCCCCGTTTGGCGAGCATGGGAGCCGAATCTCCGTGCAGTCCCAAACTGTCTCGTTCGTCGTGACCCATCCGTCCACCGTCCACAGACTGTTCGGGTCGCAGGTTTGGTTGCACGAGCTCCAATGGTCATTCTTCTTGTAGCATTTCGACCCAACCTCAGCGCAACACATGGTAAGTGCGCAAGACTCCCCGTTCTGCGAGCAAACGGAGGCTGTCGCAGCATCGGAGCTACTCGCGGCGTCTGCCGACACATCGGCGTCAACGGCAATACTGACATCGGAGTCAGTCGAAGCATCGATACTGTCGATGCTGATGACTTCACAGTCCCACACCGTTTCGTTCGTCTTGACCCAGCCGTTCTCCATCCACATGTAGTTTGGGTTGCAAGTTTGGTTGCACGCGAACCAATAGTCATTCTTCTTGTAGCACTTCGCGCCGGGATCAGAGCAACATTTAGTAACTGCGCAGGACTCCCCGGGTTGCGAGCACGGCGGCCGAATCTCCGTGCAGTCCCAGACTGTCTCGTTCGTCTCGACCCAACTGTCCTCCTTCCACATGTGCGCCGGCCCCCTTGTGGGGCCACCAGGCTGCGAGGCGCGTGATTCGCAGTTTCCTGTACCAGTCGTAGGTTGTAGTTTCCAGTGTTATAGTTCTGCTTCTTGCTGGTTACTGTAACTAGTTGACTTCTTGCTGGTTACTGTAACTGGTTGATTGACCGCGCGAGGGGGGGGGAGGCCCAAACAAGACTTTTAGCCTCACCTGGGCGCGTTGTCTGAAACAAGACTTTTAGCCTCACCTGGGCGCGTTGTCTGAATTGCTGGGGGGGCTCGAAATCGACACCCCTCACGCAGATCCGCTGGGTCAGGGTCCAAAAACACAGGGGATTTGCCACATTTCTGAAATTCGGTGCCACCCCTCACGCAGATCCGCGGGGTCAGGGTCCAAAAACACAGGGGATTTGCCACATTTCTGAAATTCGGTGCCACCCCTCACGCAGATCCGCGGGGTCAGGGTCCAAAAACACAGGGGATTTGCCACATTTCTGAAATTCGGTGCCACCCCTCACGCACATCCATCGCAAGGCGTGGTAACCCAAACTGCGAGTACTCCCTCGGCCCTTTAATCCCAAGGTGTGGTAACCAAGCTCGTAAACCATACACGTCTTACCAATCGCCCTGTGTGGTAACCCCTCTTGTGATCAGTTGGTTTTGCCGATTGCGAATCGGCCTCGCATGAAGTTCCGATACTGCTGCACGACAGCGCCAAAGCCTCATGACTTAGCTCTTCCATGGCCCATTCTCCGGGAGAGGGGGCCGGCGGCAGGGGGCGAAGCCCTTACGGATAATACGGGTTGCAAGTTTGGTTGCACGAGCTCCAATGGTCATTCTTCTTGTAGCACTTCGCGCCTGGCTCAGAACAGCACTGGGAAAGAGCGCAAGACGCCCCGGTCTGCGAGCACGTGCCGTTCTCGTCCTCGGCTGCTGCATCAGCAATGGGATCCGCTGATTCGACAGGATTCACGGTGAGGTCCTCGCAATCCCAAACTGTCTCATTCGTCTTGACCCAGCCGTCCTCCATCCACATGTAGTTTGGATTGCAAGTTTGGTTGCACGAGCTCCAATGGTCGTTCTTCTTGTAGCACTTCGCCCCTGGCTCAGAGCAGCACTGGGACAGTGCGCAAGACGCCCCGTTGGGCGTGCACGGAAGCCGAATCTCCTGACAATCCCAAACTGTCTCGTTCGTCGTGACCCATCCGTCAACCGTCCACAGACTGTTCGGGTCGCAGGTTTGGTTGCACGAGCTCCAATGGTCATTCTTCTTGTAGCACTTCGCGCCAGGCTCAGAGCAGCACATGGTAAGTGCGCAAGACTCCCCGTTCTGCGAGCAAACGGAGGCTGTCGCAGCATCGGAGCTACTCGCAGAGCCTGACGAAATATCAGTGTCAGCGGCATCAGTGGAATTAGCGGTACTGTCGACGCTGATGGCTTCGCAATCCCACACTGTTTCGTTCGTCTTGACCCAGCGGTCCTCCATCCACATGGAATTGGGGTCGCAAGTTTGGTTGCACGCGAACCAATAGTCATTCTTCTTGTAGCACGTCGCGCCGGGATCAGAGCAACATTTAGTAACTGCGCAAGACTCCCCAGGTTGCGAGCACGGCGGCCGAATCTCCGTGCAGTCCCAGACTGTCTCGTTCGTCTCGACCCAACTGTCCTCCTTCCACATGTAATACGGGTTGCAAGTTTGGTTGCACGAGCTCCAATGGTCATTCTTCTTGTAGCACTTCGCGCCTGGCTCAGAGCAGCACTGGGAAAGTGCACAAGACGCTCCATTTTGAGAGCACGTGCCTTTCTCGTCCTCGGCTGCTGCATCAGCAATGGGATCCGCTGATTCGACGGGATTCACGGTGAGGTCCTCGCAATCCCAAACTGTCTCATTCGTCTTGACCCAGCCGTCCTCTATCCACATGTAGTTTGGGTTGCAAGTTTGGTTGCACGAGCTCCAATGGTCGTTCTTCTTGTAGCACTTCGCCCCTGGCTCAGAGCAGCACTGGGACAGTGCGCAAGACGCCCCGTTGGGCATGCACGGAAGCCGAATCTCCTGACAATCCCAAACTGTCTCGTTCGTCGTGACCCATCCGTCAACCGTCCACAGACTGTTTGGGTCGCAAGTTTGGTTGCACGAGCTCCAATGGTCATTCTTCTTGTAACACTTCGCGCCAGGCTCAGAGCAGCACTGGGAAAGTGCGCAAGACTCCCCGTTCTGCGAGCAAACGGAGGCTGTCGCAGCATCGGGGCTACTCGCAGAGTCTGACGAAACATCAGTGTCAGCTGCAGTCCCAGCACCGGAGTCAGTCGAAGCATCGGTACCATAAATACTGATGACCTCGCAATCCCACACTGTTTCGTTCGTCTTGACCCAACCGTTCTCCATCCACATGTAGTTTGGGTTGCAAGTTTGGTTGCACGCGAACCAATAGTCATTCTTCTTGTAGCACTTCGCCCCGGGTTCAGCGCAGCACTGGGTAAGTGCGCAAGACGCCCCAGTCGCCGAGCACGGCGGCCGAATCTCCGTGCAGTCCCAGACTGTCTCGTTCGTCTCGACCCAGCCGTCCGTCTTCCACATGTAATATGGGTTGCAAGTTTGGTTGCACGAGCTCCAATGGTCATTCTTCTTGTAGCACTTCGTGCCAGGCTCAGAACAGCACATGGTAAGTGCGCAAGACGCCCCCGTCTGCGAGCACGGGTCGGTCTGGTTGGGATCCGCGCCGCTCACATCGCTGGCAGCCTCGACAATGATAGCCTCGGGAGAGGCAAGAGTCGCGGCCCCCGTGGAGGGCCGCGCGCGCCAAGCCACAGCAAGCAAAGCCAACGCCGCCGCGGCCGCCGACAGCGCCGCCGCCCCGGCCACAGCGCGCTGCTCGCGCGGCGCGCGCGGCGCCCGCGCGGGGGCGATCACTCCTGGCTCGCAGTCGCTCTCGAGGGGGAGCTGGAGCGGCAGGAACTCGCTCCTGTCCGCGCGCATGGCAGACGAACGATCGAGCTGCAGCGAGCGCCTGTCGGGTGGGAGCGCGAGTCTCGGGCCTTGAGTCAAAATGACTTGAGCCGAAATGGCTACGGAAGCCCGTTGAGGGCATCTTGGGAGCCTTATGCGCGCTCTTGGGGCCATCTTGGGGGCCATGTTGGGGTGTCTAGGGCCGTCCTGGGCCCATCCGAGTGTCTCTTAGGGCTCTCTTGGGGCCGTTTCGGCCCGCCTTGGGCGCCTCCTGGGCTGGCTTGGGGCCCTCTTGGGCCGTCTTGGCGCCTTCTTGGGGGCCTCCTGGGCCGTCTTGGGGCGATCTTGGGGGCGTTTGGAGCTGCCTGGGGCGCTGTGAAAACTCACGAAACGAATATGCTGAAAATGCACAGTTTCCTAAGGAAGTGGGATGTGGAGGCCGTCTCTCTAGAGGTCTCTTGAGAGCATCTTGTTGCTCCCAGGGCGCCTCTGGGACTGTCGCGGTGTCATCTCGGACTGTCGCAGTGTCATCTGGAGCCGTCTTGAGCTCTCGTGGGGTGCTTTCGGGGGCCTCGAGGGCCAGTCGCAAGCTATCTTGGGTGGTCTTGGAAGATTCCTGGACTTTCTGGGACCTCCGGGGGTCGCCGGGGGAGGTCCCCGGGGAGAAGGGGGGCCGAACTGCAAGGGATGGGCTGGCCCGGGGCCACGCGCGCTCAGGTTCCAGTCGCAGCTGCGCCATGTTTTACGGACCTCGCTTTCGCTCGTCTGATCGGCGACATTGCGAAGTCCCTTGCATGTGGGCGTTGCAAAGTCTCCATCCGCCTCGGCCCCCTCGCCCTCCCCCTCCTTCGTCATCGTCCTTTTCGTCATCCTTCTCCTCCTCCTCCTTCCTCCTCCTCTTCCTCCTCCTCCCCGTGCTCCTGCTCCTACTCCTGCTCTCCCTCCTCATTCCCTCCTACTCCTCGTAGATTGCTTCACTCCACTTCGTCCTCCTCCTCCTCCTCCCACTGTTCTCCCTACTCCTCCTCGGCCTGTTCCTTCTCTCCCATGTCATGCCCCTCCTCCTCTCCTCCGTCTGTAACTACTCCGCATCTTCCCTCCTCCTCCTCCTCCTCCTCCTCCTCCTCCTCCTTCTCCTCCGCCCGCATGTTCCCAGAGATGTCTCCGGGAACATATCATACGGGCAACTGTTCTCCACCGCCATAGCAGGGATCGTGGCCCAAAGGGAGCTCCACGTACGGCCCCAGAGAGAAGGTTCGCATGGCGTCTTCACGCCAACTTCGCCACACCTCTCACACAGATCGCGCCCCACAGGGAGCTCCACCGACGGCTCCAACAGTAGCATCAAGGCAAGGGAGACCACGGGTAAAGAACGTACTGTGAGGGTCAGCCCCCAGGGCCTGGGAGAAGAGCTATTCACTGCTTGCAATACTGGGATCGGACAGGAAAGTGTTGGGCGGGCATGCCCAGCAGCAATGCAGTTGGGTCTCCTTCTACTTTCCACAGCGAATGCACCTGCCGAGAGCGAAGCCTCCGGCATCAGGAAGTCGGCCTTCCGGCCAACAGCCGCCGACCACGATCGTGGTCAAGAGAGCCGCTCCTCTGCAATCTACATTCTTGAGAATCTCCTGATGCCTGGCCCGAAAGTTGGATGCTCGTTCTGGGGACCTTCCTGGAGCCACTCGCTCCACTCGTGCGTCGAAGCTGCGTCGAACGTCAGTCGATTTGGGTCGACCCTGAGTCGAACCTGAGTCGAACCTGAGTCGAACCCGAGTCGAACTTGAGTCGAAGTTGAGTCGAACTTGAGCCGAACTGGGGTCGAACAGATCCGGTCGGTGGGCTCCAGGAAGGTCCCCGAAACGAAAGACAAACGAACGAGACGAAACGAGACAAACGAAGACAAGCAAACGACGTCAGGAGGGTCCCCGAAACGAGCATCGAACGAGAGACAGCGCCGTCGGCGTCTGACTCGGGGCCCAGACCACACCGAGGCCGAGAGGCAAGAGGACCAGACGGTGACTACCTACCAGACCACCCCAACCCAACCCGAAGACCCCAATTTCGGGTTGGGGGGAATACGGGTTCCATAAGTGTTTTTTCGATGTTCCCCGACCCCCCCCAACTGGAAATGGAGGGCAAATCTGAGCCTTCGGGTTGGGTTGGGGTGGTTTGGTGGGTGGTGAGACGGAGGCAGCGCAGCGAGCACGCACGCGCGGCGCGCGGTGAGAACGGACATCCGCTCGAGCAGATCGACGAGGAGCTCGGCTTTCGATCAGGCGGACGTAAGACCTGGGCACAGAGGACTCGGAAATACCCGACGAGGTCGTCAAGAAAATGACGAGGCCGAGCCTGCATTTTGACGAGGCCTCCCGCTGCAGACATCCCACGACACTCCTCCTCGTCAAAATCCGAGGCGCGGTCGTCAAAAAACGATGGCGAGCCCGAGTCCTGGCGAACCCGGGTCTTACGCTCCCCCGATTCGACTGTCCACAGATCGGCTTGCACGGGCTTCCGGCCTCGGCCGAGCACAGCGGCACAGAGAGCTGCGATGGGCCCACGTACATGCCGCCGGCGCTGGGAAAAAAAGAGCACGGGCATACTGATCAGGCAGTGCTGACCATCCGCAAAGGATGCCCAAACTTCCGAAATCGGGGTAATGTGCCAAACACGAAATCGGTATACAGGGGCGCCTTTGTAGTGCCATGCAGATCTCCCAGCACACTGGTGGCGCACGCGCCCGAGGGCCAGAATCCCGGACAGGAGACAGCCGCGGACCTGACACGTTAACAGTCGAGGCGTTGACTTCAGGAACCCTAAATGAGGAAGGAGGCCCCTTTCTTTCATAAGTTGACCTTCGGCTTCCCGTCGAAAACTTACGGGAAACCTCGGGCAAGGTGTGGAACAACTAAGGCACACCGAGCCCCTCCCCAACGAAAAGGGCTCCTTCTGCGGCGCCCCGACTGTAGGAGCCCCATGGAGGGAGGGCGCGAACAGCGTGACCCCAGGGCCCAGCGGCGAGGACTCCCGGCACGAAGACCTCGCGGGAGGAGCCGCACGGCCTCGAGAGGCAAGCAAGCTCGTGACCGCGTCGGAAGGACAGAGCACGCCGCTGGTGCGGTTTCCAGGCAGCCACGGACGTCGAGCTGACTGCACAGCCCAGCTCAGAAGCATCTTGCTGAGAAGCACGTGCCGCGTGCGGGAGGTAGTGGCAGATGAAAGGCGCGTTACATTGCAGGTACTGCGTGCTGTCGCCCACGTAAGACCTGATAGGAACGCGTGCATGCGGGGAATCTCGAGAGCCTCGAGGGGTCCTGTTACGAGCCTGCTCCAACACCCCGCACAACTAGTACTTGACCCGAAGCATACTCTGGGTACAACCCCGCGAGTATAGACTCTCCAGCGGACAGCACCTTCGACAGACTTCCAGAAACCTCCGGGAGCTTCGGAAAGATGTGCATGAGGAGCCCCAGGCACCAGAGATGCCCAGGATACCCACATTGGCAGCAAAGTGCAAGAGCTTACTGGGGCTAACCGAATCAAAAAACTTCCCCGGATCCCGATATAAGCCAGCCGAATCAAGACCACAGGAATGAGCCACTTCATGGGCTAGCTCACCAAACAGCGAGGCCTTCAAGGCCGATGATCCCTTGACCGCCGAGTCCCAGAAGTCCAGGTGCTTTTCGTTCCAAGCGTCAATGTCGAAACCACGGGCCTTGCAATAAATACGAGAAAGACTGGGGCACTTCACAACAGCACGCTCCTCAAAGACGGACTTAGGCAACATGGCCATGGGGCGCGCGTAGCACTGCGGCGGGAAGCTCAACGTTTCCTCAACCTGCCTCCGGATGCCTGCGAGAAACTCCAATGCGTCCACAGGCGCAGACGGGAAGGCCCGCGGCGACCACACGTCGATGCCACAGGCCGTGGTAGCCTTCAAACGAACACACACACACACACACACACACACACACACACACACACACACACACACACACACACACACACACACGCGCGCAATGATTGGCAATGTCCTGGACCTCGAGAGGTTCGACCTCCTCCAAATCAACCGTCGCCAAAGATCGGAGCCGGCCGGGGCGTGCGATGAGACAAGCCGAGTGCTGCGGGGAAGGGGTCCACCAAGATCTCTATTTCTCCCCGCGAATCTCCATCATCGTGGCTGCGGCGTTCACAACCCCATCGGGCGTTCCGAGACCCTCGACCCAAACCTTCTTTTCCGCCTTCAGAAAACGACGCACTGGGCCGGCGCCACGAGGGATGGGAGGCCTGCAACCACACGCGCATGCTACTCTTGGTTTTTGCATGAGCTTAGTGCCACGCTCTCATACACACATCAAATGCATCATCCACAACTGCATAAAGTGCGTCATCACTCAGAGAAAGGTTAGCAAGCTCGGCTCTCATCTCCCCAGCCCCAGCAAGACACTCGAGTGGCTCGACGCGCGAAAAGACGCCAGGGGCCCGGTCCGACAAAACATTCCGACGCTGCCGAGCAGCATGCGAGAATGGTGACTTGTGGGAGAACCTCCACAATTCATACAGTCCGCTAGAAACTCTAGAGCAGCGAACAAGCCGGGGTTCCGGAAACTCTGCGCCTACACACTGCGGGCCATCAAGGACGAGTCCTTACGCCTCAACATGCTGCCTCTGCCAAGGTCGCACGAAGGGCCTGAAACAACTGCGCGTTCGAGAGAGCTCGCAACTCCATCGCACGAGACCAAGCCTGGCACTGCACCCCACGACTCCGAGACAACCGTTCAGCAGCGTGGACTGGCATGGCCTGGTAGGAGGTCCGCGGGCATCACCAGAGGGGGTCCCAGGTAAGCGGGAGCAGCACGAGCCACAAGTAAGCCAGTGATTGCCAGGTCCCAGAGCCTCAGGGACCTCCAAGGGCCTCGCGCGTTGACAGATAGGCTCGGCCAAGGTCTCCAAATCCAGCATAGCGCCCAAGCATGCGCGAGTCCTGAATGGGGATCGGAGGTCGGCAGACACGCGAAGGCACAAGAACAGACAACGCGAACACATCGCGTAACCGACCATCGCGTTACCCGTCGAACACGCAAACTCAACGTCACTGGGAAGCAGGGCACGAGCGGG